GTTTATGAAAACCGAAGGCGCATAACAAATAAATTTCCTCAATGTGCAACATAAAAGCGTATTTACGACCGGAAATATATTGCAAATTGTCGCGTAACATTCGTTTGAGCAAAACAGATAATCAAATAGGACTAGCCCACTCAAGCAAAGGGCGGCCTCAAATGGAGATGACTCGACAATCGAGAATCTTTAGCTGTCATTTCTAATAAGTCAGAACCGATTTGAAGGGTCGCAGAGGTTTGGATTTGGATTCGAAGCCGGCCAGATGACGTTAATGCGCGATAAAAATGTGTCATAAAACTCGGGAAGATGAAGGAAAACAAACAGCGAGTAAATGGGCAATGAGTACAATACAAAACTTTTACAAGCCTCACAAAATTTGTTTGGCTTGCTAAATATTTTACTGGTTGCCATTGACTTTGGGACAATTTAACATTATAATTCCCTAAACGCTTAACAAGCAATATAGAAATGATGTACATATGGTATTTATATGTTAAATTAACTTCCACGATATAAATTTCAGTTCGCGTTAATATGTGTTTTTTTTTTAATTTTATTTAAAATATAAATAAAAACGAACCAATAACACAAAATAAACAAAATAACAAAAATGACCAATATTTGTAACCATATTCTAAACGGACATTTTTGGGCACTGAAAATATATATATGTAGAACATAAGCATCTTTTGAATTTGGACATATTACATACAGATACATTGTATAATTGAACATTCATTTCAAATAATCCAAAGCGTTTTAGGTTTCCTAAGGGACCCGGTGGAAATATTTTAAAACTTTTCCAAATGATATTAGACTATTAAATTATCAAAGCATCCCGAAAAACATTTCGTGTATAAATATTCATAAAGCAGGAGGCTGTCGTAAAACGAAGACTATTTGCATATGTATGCATCGAAGAGAAGTATTTCAGGACTCTTTAGCGTAAAAGCAGTTGACTGGGTGAGCACATAAAAGGAGACTGGGAGGAAGTTAAGGACCCAAGCACCTAGCTCATATTACGACATCGTACGCATCAAATGACACGTTTTAACACCAGCACAAATGCAGGGAGCATCCCACACAGAGGCACACACCATGACCACAGGAACATCAGAAGCTGCAAACGTGCATGCCCCTATTGTCTGATGCACTGTAAAAAAAGCAGGCCACGTGTTTTCTATAAGGTAGCGATGCCAGTAGCCTTCGGAATTTCTACCTGTATCTTTGAGTGCCAAGAGTTTCACATGCTATTTGTCAACTAGATCCTGCTAACTTAAGACGTTAATAGTACAAATTTACTGGATTTTTTATAAAATCCTTATTTTAAATGTGTGCTGATCACAAAAATTTATAATTTGTAGTAGGTAAAACATTTGTTCTTTAATTTTTAGTCACCGCCGCGATAAATAACAAAATATATGTTCCAACATTGGTTGTTAACGAAGTTTTCAAAAATTTTACGGTAATTTTTTCCTGTGTGGCTTTGGTGCATTTGCTGCATCCAATGCCATTTCCAAGACGTTGATGAGCAAGGAAGAGGAGTCAAGATGCCGTCGCGAGAGCACATGGACTATAAACCGCATTTTTACGTGCCACGGGAAAACTCCGGGATATGAAAGCGCATCGAACCGTTAAACTCTTTAATCCGGTGGCTCGAAGCAAGCGATGGCCAACCGAGATGTTCCGAGACAGCAACTGCCAATGCAAGTGGCCAAGACAAACAAGCAATTACTTCGCAATATCTTTGGAATTAGGATGCCCTCTTTACAGCTTCTTTTGAAAAGCATATCTCGTTTTTCTTGTGCATTTCTGTTTCTCGAAAGCAGGTTGAGTGAAGTGAGAAGTGGCAAATGAAACGTTATCCGGGTGCATCGAATGGAATTCAGCAGAGCAGCAACAGCAAGGTTAAAACAGAGTGCCACAACTGAGAATATATGGTGTTGTAAATTGCAGAAAATTGAACTAAGAAGGTAAAATTCAAATAAGTCTTAAGTAAAAAATAGAATTTCCCAGTTTTAATTAATAGGTTTCTGCTTTTTACGAAACATTAGATAAACATAACCATTAAAAAATAATAATAGAGCGACTCTTGCATCCCAACTCGTTCTGGGACCATAGCTCGCCAAAACCTTAAACTAATCTCCAACTCTTCATAAACAGCAGATTGCTTTCACTTCATCGCACTGTTCAAACAATGCTCATGTGCTGCACTTTCAATCCGTACTCCAAGCCAACTAACCCTGCTCACTAATCCCATTACTTCACACCCGTCTAGTCCGATTTTGGGCTAAAGTTCAACTCGCCGCATCCATTTCCATTTCATGTTGCAGCAACATATTTCTGGGCTTCCCATCACAGGTCCCCTGACAGGAACAGGCGTTGAAAGTCTGCCCAATTCGTTTGCTTTGATTACGAGCTTGTTGCAGACCAGAACCAGAACCAGAACCAGGGCCAGAACCATAACCAGAAACACCTCCGAAGCCACAAGCCCAACTACTGAGCTGGCCAACATTTAGCTAACTATTTTTTCGCACTACGAGCCCCCAACATTCCCCTGCCCCCACTCCATATCTCGGAGTGTTGCTCCTTTTTGCCAGTCACTTTTAAATTAAGCAATTTGAAATGTTGACCAGGGAATCTTTCCTTTCCTTCGCCCCTTCGCTTCCATTCCAGACCGCAAAAGGCCGGGCCACAACTTGTGTAGAGTGTCACGGGTTGTAATCGCCCGTTGTAGCTGGCTGTAACTTGGTCAGGAACCAGTTGCAGTGGCAGTAAAGATAGCGCAACCGACATACGGAGGAACACGGGGGAAGGACTCGGTCCGTGTCGAAGGATGAGTCGATGGCCAACTAACTACAATTTTTTGATTTCCCGTGTTTTGTAAGCGCGCTGGCCATTTGCTTTTCTACCTCAACGTCGTTCATTGCAGCCCCTATGTCCCCCTTTTCCCCCCTGAAAGGGCGAGCTTTGGCCAGCTCAGCACTGGCAGAGCCATTTTAATTTCACTTTACGGTTTCCAAACACGAAATCCTTTTTGCCACTAGGTGTGCAGCCAGGACTCGTTTTTTATCGTCCGAGCGAAGGTGTGTTTGTTTGGGTCCCCTGTTTGTGGGGTATTAAAAAGTGAAATGGTGGAATCCGAAACCCCAAGCCGACAGAGAAGGATGCCAGTCATATGTGTGCGGTGTGAGAAGGGAGGGGAAGGGATGTGGTCTCCCGAATTCGAACTGACATAGGGAGGCAGCACGGAGATTCAACAGAATTCGGTTTCGGATTGGGTCGATTAGTTACGGTTCGGGTTACGCCACGATGATCTAAGCACATCTTATCCCATTGAGATTGCACCTGTGGAAATCCGGGGGTCTCTTGCGTCTTCGCAATACCTACCAAATTATTTAATCGGTTTACGACTCCGTCGCCCTTATACGCCCCATTTATGTTTAAAGGAAATTAAATAGGCAATCACAAACAGCCAGCCTGAACGGCACAAGCCCCGTATGAAGGAAAAGCCAGCGGCACGAGCATGGCAAATAAAATAAATAAACTCCAACGGCAATCTCAATTGAAAGCGACAATATTGTTTTTAATGATTTCATGGCCCAGACGCAGCGCAGGAATCTTTCCGGAGAAGGGGAATCTTTTTATTTGGCTTTTTGGGTACCGAAGGGAGCAGAGCTGGCAAAAAACGAGGAAAACAAGCGGAGAGAAGGAAAATAACAGAAAGCGTATGCGTGGGAGGCACCAGCCACCAGCCAGAGAGCAACAAAGGCCATGGAAAATCAACAAGGAAGCGGGAAATTCAAGATTGGGAAGCAGCCCCAAAAATATCTCGCCGAATTGCGTGGCGTGGAAATCTTTTGGGCAAACGTATGCCAAAGATAACAATGCAATTTGGGGCTTACTGCATTAGCTTATTAGACTACAACACTGAAACTGTTGCCCATATTGAATGCGTTGCCAACACATTTCCTCAACCGATTTACATTCGAATATTTGCCGAATCAGCGCGGAATCATCATCGTCATCATCAGGAACAGCGAGTGACCACAGTAAAGTTTGTGGGGTAAACAAGAACTCAAAGACTGGTGATTAAGCAGTTCAAAGTTTCTTGGCCAAAGTTGCGCTCAAGAAATCAAAGTAACTTTCTTCCCTACTGCGAACTCTCTTTACTCTCGTTGGGTAAATATGTACATATATGCACAAAAAAAAAAAATAAAATAAATCAAATAGATCAAAGCAGGTATTAACATATACATATCCACATTTTACGTTATGTTCTGTGTTGATTCATTCTAGAAACGGTACTAATCTCGATTTTTCAAGCGATTCAGATTTTAAGTTAGCTTAATAAAATACACTTAAACTTGTTGTGAATAGTACCAACATTTTTGTTAACGGTTCTTAAACAATAATCCATGCTTGCTGTTGGGCATATTTTATTTTATTTCGAATAGGAATCTAAACAATTGTTTAGTCAAGTTGACCAAATTGTTTTTTTAGTGTACCAACTGTTTCAACACCAACTGCTTTATAGTTATTGAAAACTTTTTCGAACCGAAGAACTTGGCAGCTTAATAACAACAAACCAACTGCCTCGTACGAGAAACCCTGAATACCAAAAAATGTCGAAAAGAAAGAAATATGTATAGTATACCCGTTTTATTGAAACCCATTGTAGCTACCACAAATACAGTTTTAGCCATTTTAGAATTTTTTAAGGTTTATTATGATATTTATTATCCTATTTATTTAGTTGGTAGTGGTCATAAGAAATTATGAAAAACCACCTGATAAAAGGTGAATGATGTTATTATTAAAATATTTATTTTAAATTTTTTATTTATTTACTTATTTATAAATATTTTTTCCATCACCAATCAAATCAAATGCAGGGTGGTTTTTAAAAACTATTGAACATGCTTATGAAGTATTTTCTTATTTCTCATTCTTAACTATTTATAAAAAGAATAAAATAATTATAATAAAGTAGTATATAGTATTATAAAAGCGATTGATTTTAAGAATTTATTAGGCTTGACAAAATGATGCACAATATACACAATGAGTTTAGTAATCCCATAGCCCCTGTTTTCTATCCACTGGACAATGACCAAGGCATGCGTGCTGCTTATACCCTCCAGGGGTTAAATCCTCACCAGAACCCCTGCACCACAGAATAGAATCGAGCATGACGGGATGTGGCAGAGAGATGGGGAAGGAACTCGAGCGTTCAGCGTAAGGAGGAGGGATAACTCTCGTGCTTAAATTTATTAGCCTGCCGCCCACCTAGGACTTGGAGAGCTCGGTAAACCGCTTGGAGCGGACTTCCCTGACCGGCTTGAGGGCGGTGTGGGGACCAATAAGCTGCCGGCTTCTCTTCAGCGTGTACTCCAGGGTCTCCGTGCTCTGGTGCCACTCGTCGGAGGCGAAGAACACGAACCCGACGCGCTCAGCGTGGCGGTAGGCCTGCTGCGGTCCGCGGGAGCCGAAGTCGTAGGTCAGCGGGCGGGGGCGGTCCAGCTCGATCGAGCTGAGGATCGGGGAGAAGATGCGCCAGATCTCGCACTGCTCGTCGGTGCGCATGAAGAGGGTCTGGTCGCCGTGGAAGACGTTCAGCAGGAAGCCGGGGTAGCCGGAGAGGCCCTTCGGCCCCCGGTCGTCCACCCGCAAGGACACCTCACTCTCGCGCAGGCAGAGATCCTCGCCGTGCCGCTTGAGGCGCATGCGCATGAAGACCTCTTCGGTGGGATGGGAGCGCAGGACCAGCTCGTTCCGCGCGTCCGCGCTGTCGCTGTGGAAGGAGTCGCAGTCGGCCGGCTTGTACTGGATGCGCACCTCGGACTTGGTATCGTTGAGCGCCTTTCCTGCCCGCAGGATGAAGGGCACTCCGTTCCAGCGGCGGTTGTTGAGGCGCAGCACCACCATGGCGAAGGTGGGCGTGAAGGAGTCCTTCGGGATGAAGCTGTGCTCCGTGTAGCCGCACTTGGCCGGGTCCGTCTCGCGCTTGTTGTTGCGGTACTGGCCCAGAACCACGTCGGCCATGCTGGGGGTGAGCACCTGGCGGAGGACATTCAGCCGCTCCGCGCGCAAGTCTTCGGCGGAGTTCGTGTACGGCTGGTCCATGGCCAGCATGGCCAACACCTGGACCATGTGGTTGGTCATCAGGTCGCGGATAATGCCGAAGGAGTTGAAGTAGTCCGACCGGTAGGCCCCCACCGGCAGCTCGCACTTCACCGAGATCATCACCGCCGCCACGTGGCGGTTGTTCAGGGTCTCGCTCCACAGGTGGTTCGAGAAGCGCAGCGCGAAGAAGTTCTGCATCACCTGGCGGCTGAGGAGGTGGTCCATCAGGTAGATCTGCGACTCCCGGAAGCAGTTGCACAGCGAGGTCTGCAAGACGCGGTAGGAGACGTCGTCCCGCGCGAACGGCTTCTCCACCACCACCCGCGACCATCCCGTTGGGGAGGCGCACTTCCGGCTGGCGTTGAGGGTCACCTGGTCGAAGGCGGCCGGCGGCAGGGCCAGGTAGAATATGCGGTTCGCCTGCACCTGGTTGTGCTTCGCCTCCTGGTGGGCCATCGCCTCGGCGAGCGCCACGTAGTGCTCCGGCTTGTCGTACTCGCCCTGCACGCACTGCACGCTCGCCCAGAAGCGGTTGTACTTCGGCGGGTCCCGGCTCTTCTCCAGCTCCATGTAGGGCAGCACCTGCAGCCGGTAGGTCTTCGTCTGCAGATGTGTGCGGCAGAAGGTGAATATCCTGGTGCCCTGCGGCAGCCGGTTCTCCCGGTAGAGGGCCCACAGGGCTGGGAACACCTTCTGCTTGGCCAGAGCCCCCGAGGCCCCGAAGACCACGAACGAATAGGCCACCTCGTTGTTGGGGTCGATGGGAAGCATATTGGGGGGGAATTTAGGGGAGTCCAAAAACGAAAGGGGTAGAAATTTGGAGGGAAAATTTTTTGTAAAATTTAAGTAGATAGTTGAGAGCTATTGCCAGGAAACACAGAATAATGATAGAAGCAAACCTTATTTTAACATTCCAATTATCACAACTTTTACAGATTGTTACTGAACGACAAAAATACAAAAATAGGCATTTTTAAATAGATTACCTATTGATTTCGATCAATACATACTAAAGGATGCTGTGCAAAAAGGTGGGCGTGGAAATAAATGTAATAAACTTGTGCTGCCTACAAATAACATCATTATATTTCATCTTAGTATAGAAGCTCTTAAAGTTTTCATACGGATAAACAGACATATAGACGTGGCTGGATCAACTCGTCTGTTATTTTATTTATATTTATTCTGTTCGAGGTCGCAAAAGTTTTCTTTTCTTTATTACACACTTTTCAGCCAATAGAGTTTACCCTTCTGCTCTACGAGTAAAGGATATAAAAAGTGCTGTTCCTAATTAGATCGGTTCCAGAACTAAGACAAATATTTACATTTTGAGGCGAAATAATGTGCTGCAGCAAAGAGTTTAGACTCGCCTTTAGTGACAAAAACTTTTAAATACTGATGAACACTTTAAATTTAATTGCTACTCTGATATAGTTTTCAAATCCTTAGAGGCTATCTAATTGCATTATTACCATCAACTAATTTATAATTAAATCAATATGGGAGATAAGTTTAAGTCACTAATAAAGCGGAATAGTTTTCTATGCATATTTTAATATATAACATTTTAATAGTTTCTCAATTTAAGTTGTCTTTCTTTGAGTAATAATCCATTTTATACCAAACACGACAGAGACAGTTCAAGGCCTCTTTTAAAGCGAAAACCACTTAGCTACCAAAAAATGACTTTAGCCCTGAGTGGGTGGGCCTCCATCTGGCACAGGGATATAAGCTCGACACGTTAGCCCGGCACACAAACAGTTCGGAGTAGAGATTGGCTGGCGAAGCTGGCAGTAAGCCTCAAGTTCCCCATAAACACATACGAGACTTGTAGCTGCCTCTGCCTGCCCTGCAATTCAAATTCAATCAATTCGAATTCCCCAAGCCACCGTTTAAGGCCAGCGGAGGACCCAAGAGGGCATGATTGCAGTGGCATTTCCATTTCTTTGCGTGCCACACATGTTGTGAGTGCAGCTAATAGCTGGAGCTCCTATTGCGATTTCTATCCTCCGTCTCGGCGAGTCGAGCAGCTCTTTTGATGCTGCAATGACCGGGCTTATTCAATTTCCCCAGGAGAGGCTTGTTGTAAAGGTCAGGCTTTCGATCCGGAGAACCCTTGTTTTGGCTATCAAAGAAAAAGGCTTGAACTAAGTCAAAGGGGTTCGTCTCCCAACACCCCGGGAAGTGCTCCCCATCCCATTTATTGGTTCATGCTGGATTAAGAAGGGTCCTGCTTCTAGGCAGGAGCAGCTGTCGTCGCTGCGGCTGCAGTCGTTTCACCTGCGGCTCCCGCGGCGGCAGTAGTCTTCTTTCCCGCCTTGGCTTTGCCTGCGCACTTCTTCGTCTTTGCGTTCCACTTGAGAGGAGGCTTACACTTTTTGGGATTGGCCTCCACGGACATGCTGCACAGCATCAGCACCAGCGTCACGATGCAGAAGGTTACCAGGGAGATCTTCATAGCTCGGCGGATCCGGTTGGTCTAAGAGGAGTTGTTCTCTACTTCTCGACACATATTCTTAAGCTAATCGATCGGTAGCATGTGGTGTAGCTAATCCTATTAGACGGCTGACATTTCACGGTACCTTTCGGTTAGCATTAGTTATCTAAAGGTGTTAATTTCATCAAGTGATTCTATACGCATAGTATAAGATGTTGCTTTTAAGCCCCTTATAATTTCACTCAGAAGTTTGCGACACTGTAAGGGAGACACCTCAGATCCGGTAAAATATATATATTATTGATCAGCATCACGATCTGAATCGAAATACGTCTGTCCGTCTGTCGTTTATATGTAAACTACACTCTCAGTTAAAAAGATATCTTGCTAAAGCTTTACCAAAAGTTGTGTAGTCATTGCTAGAAGTATATCGAATAGCTCCCATACGAGGAATTTAAAAAAAAAATTATTACTCCGTTGTTTTTGATCATATTGACTTGAATTCCAGATGGAGCTACCCGATATATTCGGCCGATACGGCCCCTTCCGACTTATATACTGCGTGCATTAACTACACAAATTTTTGGGAAAGTTTCAAAACTGAGAGACTAGTTTAAAGATAAACGGATAGACGGACATACGTACAGACGTATTTCGATTCAGATCGTGATGAATATCAAAAATACTTATATACTTTTTGGGGTCGGAGGTGTCTTCTTCACTGCGTTGCAAACTTCTGACCGAAATTACAATACCCTTTTGATCTGCAAGGGTATAAAAAGATAACATTGTTATTTTTCGTCAAATAAGTATAGTTTTTAAAATATATGTAAAAACGGACGACTATATAATATAGCTGTCATATGAACAATCGTCAAAAATATTAAAACTTAATAAAAAAAACACCGGTAGCACTCCGGGAGTGCCGGCAGAAGTGAAAACTTCAATATTAACGTTGTGTTTAATTATAAGTATAAAAGTACTATCATTTATAAGAGAAATAGAATACAATGTTTATTTATTGCGCTATCGTACACAAATATGGCAATTTATATGTTGTTATTTATAATATTATATCGTTATTTATATATTACATTAAATTTTATCTCTCAGAAAAATCAACTTCCATCCATAATTTCGACGACTTTTACACTATCGTTATTATCAGAATCATCATCGCAAATTTTTGCAACTGATATAATTAGTTTATGATAACTGAAGTAAGAAACAAACAGTTTTGATTCGAACCTAATTAAGTGTAAGTACAAGGTAGTCTCGTCGGCTTTTTTCCCCCCTATTGGGCACTACAATGAGTGCGAGTGAGAGGGTGTTTTCCCGTAAGTGTGAAAGAAAAAGAAGAAGATGACGTCGTTTTACACTTATGCTGTGCACGGGGCTTAAAAAGGACTGTTATATGACCTTAAGTATTAATTTTTCCGAAATTTTTGGTTTTTACACAAAGCTGCCCTTTAGTATATGCTGTATAATTGTACCAAGACTCTGGCCATGGTATAATAACTACAAGGTAGTCTCGACGCCGGCAGCTGAGTTCGGGTTTAGTCCCCTATCGCCTCAGTACGCTCGGGTTTTCGTAGAGAGAGGTTGTACGCGGACGATTTTTTCTCAAAACGTTAACCCTTGTGTGCTTATGAAAAATACTTTTTGCAATAATTGCAGCAAGCAGATATGTACAAGGCGTAACATAGATTATTGTACAAAAATGTATAAAAGGGCGGACAATATGGGAGCGAGTCCTAAAGGGCAGCTTTGATTGAAAAAATATATATATATATGATATGTAAGGATTGACAAACACGGTTGCCAATTTAGCTTGTTTATAAGCTAGATTTTTAATAAAATAAGGTAGAATAAGCTAAAATTGTCCAGTTTCAAAGTGTATAACCGTAGATTTAACATAACATAACATCAAAATAGCATTTACGTAAACGTTTTATAAAAATTTTGTTATTAAAAGTATAATTCTACCATGGTCTCGACCATGGTACAATCATGGTATAATAAGTACAAGGTAGTCTCGTCGGCTTTTTTTTCCCCCTATCGACACTACAATTAGAGCGAGAAAGAGAGTGTTTTAATATGGGTTCGGGTCGATAGGGGAAAAAACCCGAACGATTTTGCAGCCGACGAGACTACCTTGTATAATTGTACCCATGGTATCGACCCGAACGCTCGGGTTTTCGTAGGAAAACACTCTTTCTCTCGCTCTAATTGTAGTGTCGATAGGGGAGTGACGAGCCGACGAGACCAACTTGTATAATTGTACCATGACTCAGGCGCGGTAGAAAGAGTGGGAGATACAAGTTCCTCTCCCTTTCCCACGATCTTACGCTTTTTCGATCAGCATAACGGGACTCTGACGCGAGTTTGAAAGTTTTTACCCATACAAAAAAGAGCTCAGCGCCGCTAAAGAAGTTTTCACTTCAAAAATCCACATAGCTTCGATGTTGTTTAGCCTTTTTGTATTTTCTTCGATATATTTGATGACTGCAAGGGTATTTAAGCTTCAGCTCGCCGAAGATAGCTTCCTTACGTGTTTAAATGACCAAACTAGTTTAAAATAAAACATGCATTTGAAATACACTTATTTTTATTGAATTAGGAGGTAGGCAAGTCAATTATATTCGAGGCAAGTTACCTTTTCCATTGACTTAACAAAAATGGAAAGGAGCTTAAAAAATTGGGGAGGCAGGCAGAAACTAGAAAACTAAAGGAACGTGCCCGAAGATCTGAAATCAAGACTATCGCATTGCCGCACCCCGAACTTCTGGCTCCTTCGTCCTTGTCGTTATACGTGCCGTTCAAACTCCGCGCAATCAATATGGGAGGAGTCATGCAGAGATTAGTTGCCAGGAGATGGAGCAAAGCCCTCGTGTTGGACATCTTGAGCTGCATTGGGTTGTTCTTGCCGCTGTTAATTGGCTTTGTTTACGAACTAACCCCAAGAGCCCTTAATATTCACAATCCCCCTGCAAAAACGTCTTACAAATGCTGGCTACATCCAACAGTCGTTCCTGGCACACCTGGCGTGGGCTTGCTATTTTCCCATAATCATGTCGAGGATTGGTCAAGTGAGCTTGTATTTCCAACTAATTGAGGCCGAAGACTTACATTTGAACAAGATAAGTCGCATTCAATGGGCAGATATCCTTCGGACTGCTTCCAGCCCAAGAGCATTCGACACAGGGATTAATTGGCCTAGTGCGGGGACAGTAATAGCAGACATAATCAAGCCAAGAATGCGATAATGAATGGCTGGAAAGCATTAAGAGGTTAGACTTGAATAGATAATTGTGGAAACCAACTTGAGCTTTACAATTTAAAAAGCTTATAAAAGGTTCCTACATTTTCTTTAAAATATGTTATAACTTATAAGTAGAATCATATTTATGTGTGGTAAAACATAACACCTCGTTGCACTATATTGATAGTTATATTACGATAATTGTATAAATAATTTTCTGTTGTGAAAAAACCAAATATGACCTTGTTAAGGGGAATTTATTCAATATATAAAATAAATTAACTTTTGTTGCTTTCGTCACATATATATTAACATAACGAGTGATCTGCATCAACTTGGGAGCATTCTATGACTAAACTCGATGTAACCCATCATGCCAATCTTTGACCTTGGCCAATTTTTAAAATGTGTGCTATATGCTAAATTCATGTCATGGATAATGGTCAGACCAATGAGTTGAGGCATTTCGGATTCGACACATCCCCCTTTTCTTGACCTTTTCAAAAGGCCAGCAAAGAGCAATTCCATGCTCCAGTTCACTGCTTCTCTTTCGGTTGCGCTTTCGCTCACTAGGCAAACTGGCGCCTCTTGAAAGTCAATTTCCATCAGCAAACAAAGGAAATTTCTAGGCCAGAACATAAACACAAACAGAAAAGTGGTCAATGAGCCCAAAGTAGGAGGCGAACCGGATGGATGACCTAGCCAAAGTGGCTGAGACAGGAAATGTGGAGGAGCATGGCAGCGCAGGAGCTGGCCAACGATTTATGCCCGGGCTAAACATTTTAAACACATGCATAAATCAGAACACGCAGGGCAGGAAGCGGGTGAAAAATCTGGCAAACAGTTGCTTAGAGCAAAACTTTTTAAATGACCCAAGGAACAGATCAGGCCGAGATGGCTTTTCTGCCCCGATGATGTGTGACAGTTTGTGGCAAATTGAAAATGAATGGGACACCGAGAGGAGGAGGGCACGGACCTAGACACGCCATTAGGCTCATAATTGCCTCATGGAGATAGGCCTAATCCAAGGGCAGGCTGGGCACCCAGAACATGTGCCATCTGCCACGAGTTTATTGTGGTTTATTTGCTTTCATTTACTTTCACTTGGATCACATAAAATTTAATTAAATTGTTTTATTGCATGCAGGCCAAATGGAATTCCTTGAGCCAACTGCCATCAACTTTAGCTTTTCCAACAAGGCGCACAAAAGAAGAAAGGAAAGAAATCCCCGTTCGCATAATTAAAAGAAGCCTCCTCTGAAGCTCGTACAATTTTGGGGCTAATCTTTTATGAGATTCCGCTGCCACAAAAGCGGATTCTTTTTAGTCCACATTTAGCAAATAAATCAAGATTTGTTTGTATTGAAATGTCTTATTTTCTGCTTGTTTCACTGAGATAGAAGCTTAATAATTCACGAAAACTCTTAATGTAATTGGATTGAGAAAAGGTTGGCTATTTAAAGTACATGTTTCTCGAAAAACAACTACGTTGCTACTGTTAAATTAATTTATTTCGACCATTATCTAAACTTCCGACCCACAGGTTGGCAGTTGACAAGCTTTTAATAGGCAGTTGACCTTTGTACGCATTATTATACTCAGGCGATTTCAGTAGTTATCCACGCGATTGGCTGGACAGGAAAATTGTTGCGGAAGGTTAGTGAAAATCAATAGACATGGTTTGACTCCGGAGGCAAAATGTGGAGCAGGAATGTGGCCCCGTATAATTAATAAGTAGGTAGGAAACAATTCTTGTTCGGTTTGTTGAGGAAAGGTTTCTGCCCAAAAGCTGCGGGCAAAAAACGTGGCCCACTTTTGGGAGCCACGTTATTACAACCGGCAAAATAGCACACAAAGAGGCCCAAAAATGAAGGGGACTCATTGGCATATCTACATATTTCTGGTTCAATGCATTGCCACAACGCACACGCAAACACACCAGGGCGGCAAAGGGAAACCCAAAACACAGAACACAGAACGGCAAACACTGAGCAAGCAGGCAAACATCTCTGGCGATTATGCAGTGAAAAAGAGCGGCGACGGGAAAATCGGAAGTGGATGGCAGGAGAAAGGGGAGCGCGTGGAAATCCTCCGCAGGGCAGGCACACCAAAAGTATTCGAAAGATGCCAATTCATTTGTGCCATAAACAACTACAAGCACAATCGGACGGCAACAACAATAAAGCAGAGACAAGATATTGAAAACATCCGCACGGGGATATAGAATGCATATGCATATGCACACTGTACGAGTATATTGGCCATCTATCGATCCAAGCCATTGTAATTTGCAACTTTTCATTTCCATTTTTTGTGCAGGAAGATAAATTATTATTTGTTGGGGGTTGACAGTCGAAGTGAAATGTGAAATAATTTTTGGGTATTCCGTTCTGGTCAAATTAAGGAAATTGTTTCCGGGGCTTGCGAAAATTCCTCTTGGTAACCATTGAACTGTTAATCCTGCATTTGATTTTCCGGAATCTATATAAAAAGAAGAAAAGAAGAAGGGTTTTTTTCTTCTCAGTTCTATTATAAAACTGTTGACTGCTATGCTGTTTTTTTTTTTCTAAAGCTTCTTGAAAGTACACTTTTTATACCACATGCGTTATATATGACTTTCTTGATTTTTGTTGTAATTTAATGATCATTAGGCTAATTGATTCAAGTAATTTAAAGTGTATATAATTTCAAAAATTATGAATTTTTCATCGTTTGAAAAAGTGTATTATCACCCTAAGCCCTAAAAGGGTTTGCAAACACAGACACACACCTGTAAGTGGGTAGTCAAGGATAGGGCCGCTTCGAGGCGGAGTCGTCCTGCCAGTCAATCATCAATCCAAATGCGAATCACACACTTAAATTTGTTGGCCATGTTATGACAGGCTTCCACTGTTTATGAAGAAAAACTGACTACACCCAGCCCACTCCTGGCTGTGTTTCGTGTCCGCTTCTCCACTTGCAGCCAAGAGCACACTTGGCTTTATGATTTGCCCAGGACCTTCGACAGTGTTTGTCATTTACTTTTTGTCACTGTTTCCAATGGCTTCCATGGCTGCGTGTGTCTATGTGCAGGATAATTTGCTGTGACATGCAACTTCTGAAACTTTAATTGAGAACAGCAAGGAAGAGGTGTGGACGACAGCATGGACAGCAGGGAATGACCCACAACAACTGTGGCTTAGATGGCGTCCTGCTGACCAAATGGCTGAACTTTAAAATGACCAGGCAGCATTTCTCATCTTTCTCGGAAGCATGCTCCGAGATAATCGAGTTTCCTGCCTGCAGCCAACTAACACTGCAAGAACAATAACCGGAGCAACAGCAAATTATTGTATCATTGCAATAAGTGAGTGTGCGAAGAACAACGACCTTCTCCTGTTCATCTTGCCCCATGAAAGTCTGATGAGAATTGCCACTTCTTGCAGCTTTTCTCCATGTAAATGCCATTTTCCCCAGAGCAACAAGCAAACGTTTGTTGAGGAATTAAAGTAGAAAACTCCGTTTTCAGAATTCCTGTTTTCAAGGAGAAAGTTTCTCTGGTCCCTTTCATTTTCTTAGCACCTTTGTATCTTATCTATTTACAAAAAAGAGTAATTGGGTGTTTACTAATGCTAACAATTATCTATTAATTGTATTTAATAAAGTCAGGCGTGCTGCAGGTTGATTTAAGTTGATTTGCTCGCCATTTTTAGGAAAAGCCACATACTGTTATTATTTCTGCATTGGATATCTTTTTTGTTCTTTCCTAAAAACGCTTTTTTATTAGTTCTTTGTAAATAAGGAATATTTTAATCAATGAGGTTTTTGAACCGATTGACTTTTAAAAATACTTTCAATTTTAAGGATTAACCAACCTGACGTCCACAAGACTATTGATTATTAAAGAGGTTAGAAAGGAAATTATTTGGGGTCCATAAAAATTATAAAAAAATAGAAAAATAAAAAAAAAATAAAAATTATTTATATTGTTCTTGTCGTTCGTTTTATAGATAAAATTCCTTATTAAGCAAACTAAATATGTTCAACGACTGTGATTCACAGCATATTTTTAAAACACGTTCTATTCGATACTTTACTCCAATGGTTTTAAAACGGTTTCTAGCGACTTTTGGTTTTTATCTGAATCAACAGTTTGGTAACTAAGAGAGCCACGCTAAGAGAGCCACTACACTGCTTTGCCGACGCGGACACGCTCGTTTCGACTCGACTCGAGTCGTATCGGCCCGGCCAAGAGCCAGCCGACCAGAGACGGCGAACTGTTGCGGGTGGCAAGTTTATGGACGGACCGCGGGAACGCTGTCGTTCAGATCCGTGCGAATTGGCGTTGGGTGTGGACGCGAGTGGCAGAAGCAGGCGGCGTCTCCAGACACAAGCTCTTCCACCGCGAATCTGGCATTAGCGAGCCAGTTCAGAATTCCCGCAAAAGTTCAAGTGACAATTTTCAAACCCAATAACAACTTTCCGACAAAGTCAACGCAAATTGAATACGATTTGATTGTCCCTCGATCCTCATCGATTTACTATATTACGCACAGGAAAAGAAAGTCAACGATAAAGTTTTAGTGAAAAAGTTTCCCTGGCTCCCTCGACGTGGCGATGCAACCGAAGGGAAACCAAAAATTTTGTAAATGAGTTTTCCTATCGCCGGGCTAAACCAATTAACAGAATTTATTCTTGTGTAATAAATAAATTGCCAACAATTATATCTTGCAACTCCCTCAAGCATAATCAAATGAAATGTTCAACAAAATGTTTACGGCAATTGCAGCTCAAAGCGAGAGACCATCGACGAGGTGCAAGCTGTGGTGGTAGTGGCAAGAAAGCTCAAAGAAAGCCGCAAGGCTGAACCAGAAATTTATAATTGGTAATAACAGGTAAGCAGTACACAGGAACGTACTAGCATGTATTTCTAATAAGGAATTTTTGGGACTTAAAATCCTCCAATTTGTTAATACACTAAAACTAGGTAAAATGTATTAATTGTCTGGATATTTAAAATAAAAAAAAAAATTCAATATAGTTTTTTACCGCTTTTCAGATAATTTTAAATTTTAGTAAAATAACACTTATAAAGTGAAACTTCATATATGGTAAAAAAAAATACGGAATATTAATATTCTGCAAAAGGTTTTTCCTATGTTTTCCCTCGCCTGATTTAAAAAAGCAAACTGCTCATAAACTAAACGCCCGCCAAGAAAAAACATTCCACACTGAAAAACCAAACAAGAGCATATGTGAAATGGGGGAAACGCAAGAAAATTTCCCAAGTGCGACGCCGTGTATTATTTAAACACCTTTAATTAATTAAACGGCAGTGCTCCCAAGTGCGGGCCACCAGAAAACTTCTTGCGGCAGGGCTGTTCCTTCAGGTGCCAGAATGTTTTTGCTGGGGGGCTGGGAACTCGTCTTTCAACAGCGTGATTATTATTTTATTTCATGTTGTGGCTTTTAAGTAACAGACTTAGCACAATCGCATGGCGAAAATCCCGGCTCTTCGCCCTTGGGGGCGCCGACCCAGGGAGGCCTTTTTGTCCCAGAGCGTTCCGCATTTATACCAATTTGAAAAGCGCGCCTTACTTTCGCGCCAACCTCATGATTATATATTTATTTGATTTTTCCGGTCTGCGGCTGCTCTTTCCAACCGCTCTTTTGCCCCAAACCCAGTGCTTCAATCTTTGAGGTTTGGTGCCCAGAAAGTATTTACATAAAATCTAATCAAAAGGCATGCCACATTATCTGCTCGGACTGCTGCCTCATGAAAATTTCAATAAGACTTTGACACAGATACAAATCCACGTGCATATGTTAAAGTATATATCCTATATAAATAAGTATGTACCGAAGCATATATATATGTGGGCTGCACTTAACCTACAACACGGCGTCGTTTAGTAAACGAAGGTTTAGGGCTCGAACAACTCTAAAAGCATTTTTAATAATTCAGCACTTTGTATTTTGTTGCCTGTCTGTCAAGGCGGCATAAAACTCTTTAAGGTTTTGTTTCAATTTCTCCTTCTTTCTCTGCTTATGGGGATGTCGTTAAGATGTATTAGGTTCAATAAAAGGGATCCAAAGTGAGTTCTTTTTAATTTACACACAGTCTTTAAGCTTTATGTATAAAAAACATTTTATTAATTTTCCCGGGCCGGAGTCAATGAGTTTTAAACAATCCTTGGGAACTTGGCCAAATATATTGGACATATGTCTAATGATATTATCTTATCTGTAAAAAAAAAAAGCCTAGGCTGATTCTGATTCGCACGCTTCTGTTTGTCAGTTGATACGAACTGAGATTTTTTACCTCAAAATAGCCGCAGAAAAGCAAATAAACAAACGCGCAAGGAAGCGCATATGGCCATCAAAATTAATTCAGTTAAGCCTGCGAATGTAATCAATGAAATATTGATATTTTTAATGTTTAATCTTTTCAATTAAATTGGCAATGATTTACGCTGCCCTTCCGAAGATGTTTGGTCACCGAAATGTAATGACACATTAAACCCCGATACGAAATGTTGCGACGTGGCTGCGGCATTGTAAATGATGTTGTCGCATAAATCAATTAAAATGGTAATTGAAAAATAATTAAATATACAAATTAAGTTGCAAGTTGTTTGGGCTCATCTGCATTAATATGCTCAGTGATTTAATGAATGAATTTGCTTGTGCTTTCCATCGGGAGATTGCTTACCGCCCGCTGAGCTTCAGTCGTTCGAGCAATAAATTCCCAGGTCTATCCATTAAAGTCTCATTTTAAATAGCGTATACGCCCCGCTGTCCCAGCCAAACAATCTCATTTGTTTTTAGAAGCTTTCACAGGCTAAGAAACCGTTTATTTAACAAAATCAAGTATGCGCCCCATAGAACTTTTCAACTGACTGCGGTATTTTTATTTCCATTACTCATACGCCTCCTCGACCCAATGAAATGCCGCCTAATTGCTTCCCTAAGCCCAAAAGCTGCCCCAGCAGCACAAATTTCCCTCATGGACTCTTTACGAATTGTATAATAACACTGGATTCGATCAGGGAGAAATAAATTCGTTCAATATTTTCCTCTGGCATGCACAATTTCTGGCTTTTCAGTCTCTCCTCTTCTTGATGCATATAAATTTTAATGCATTCATTTAATTGAATGCCCCAGGACGGTCCGGGGACATCCATCCACCAATCAATCGGCGGGCGTGATGAAAATTATTTTAAGAGCCAAAAAACACCCACACAATCCAAAAGAAAGGAAAGCCCGGGCTGCGGTTTGCATAATAATGGGATTTCCCAAGGCCGGCCAAGAGTGCTCGGAGGACTCTGAGTTCTCGGCGCACTGCTTTCTGGCCAACAGGACGTGCCGCCGTCATTGAGCAGGGATCGGATGGACTTAGTTCGGTGGATTTGGTTCCATCCTGGCCACTGGACCGCAACACAGATACAAATTAGCAGTTGCAGCAGCCACTTCTCACTACTTTTCTGAATTTTTCCGACTTCTCCGCCTCGTTTCCATACAATAGGGCACTTTAAAATTATTCTGTTCTCGAAGGGGTTAAGGCTGTTTCGTTTCTCCTCCTCAGCAAACGTTGACACAAAGTTTTAATTACAACAAAGCATTAATATTATTAAACATTAGCTCGGTTGCTGCCGAAAGCGAAAGTAAACAAGACCGGCTCTGCATACTTATGAGGGCTGAGAAAAGTACTTCCCGCTTATAGACTCGAGTAAATGGAGCGTGCTGCATGTTAATTGAAAACACAGGCTGACTGACAGCCCTTAATCTGACAAGACCTCTTCGCCTCGTTTATCCAAAAACTGAAGCTTTCTGGTCAGTTTTTCTGCTGGTTTCCTTGATTTGCATAATATGCTAATTGCGACACACTTTCCAGCGCATAAATCATTCATTAATCATCAGCTTTCGGAGCGGTCCAATTCATGTGCGGGCTCTTCAATTAGACCCTGAACTTTTCTTCTTCCCCTAGTTCTGTATACTCAATGCGTGCAATTTTCCTTACTAAGATTTTAATTTTGAATGGGAATGCGAGCGTCTGTGCGGATAAAGCAAAAGATTATGCTAACAGCTTACAGCCCAATGGATACAGGGAAGATTGTTGTGCGAAAGAAAGCAGCAAGCTTGCTAAATATCAAGTTAATTGAACAATGCCATTATTAGAATTATAGAGTGGATGGAATATTGATTTTGAAATAATATGTTTATATTACAACAAAATTAATGTAATTAGAATATCAATCCGATATGAGGATAACAAAAGAATATTAGAATATGGAAATGATATAAAAAATCAAGTCGACATAAGGATATCAAATTGATACTGGAATATTTGAATATTTAATTAATATTCGAATAATAAAATCCCATATAAAAAAAATAATTTATCTACTCCAATTATTCAATATTTTGGTGCTTTTAATTTTTTATTTGGCGCACTGACGAAAGATTGGAAAAATTGGCAAGCTGCTATTCTAAATTGAATTCCAAAATGTTACTTTTCTGGCTTGGATTTTTGTATGTCAAATAAAGAATAAAATGGGAATTTAAGAATATATTTTATTTTTATAGTAGAAAATTCTTCTGGCAGTCCACATACGTAATTTTCCTCAGGTTTTCCAGCTGATCGGCCTTACTCACACTCCATTTGCGCTCAATCCTTAGCCAATCCCCACTGTATGTGCAGTGTACTGGATGTTTGCTGCAAACGCATAAAAAATTGTTGCCACATCACTCACTCAGCTTGGTCGCGACGGCGGCAACTGCTTTTCACCGCTTTTCTTTTGCGTTTCCCCAAACGGAGGAGAGGGGCGATTGGACCCATGTAATATGCCATCGCGGCCTGGCAGGCTGCAGTCAAAAGCATCTCATCAGCAGCCCTTCGGGTCCTCTACCCGAAACTTTTCCTCACAAAAATATGTATGCCATGCGGTTGGGAGACGGGTTAATAAGCAAGGGGCTTATTGCATTATCACTGCACCTTTTGCGATTGCCAAGCGATTTTATATTGGCTCAGCGCCGGCTAAAAACAAGAGTGCCTTGATAATCCGACCGACTTTTAATTGCATACTTTGTAGAACCCGTAAGCGGAACTCTCAAAGCAAGCACCAGATGCACAGCGATTCGCAACCATGTGGGCTTTATGTGCCTTTTTAACCTCTTTACTACTTTTAAGGTTCATGGCGCACTTAAATTTGTTGCAAATATGCCAGCGGAATTTGAGTGGAAATTGAAATGGGAATGGAAATGCAAAAATTGAGAGCAATTTCAATGGTGCCCTCTATATTTCCAGCCGCACATCCACATCCACATCCTGTGGCGCCTCCCTGACCTAAGTCTATTCACGATTACGAGCCTACGCCGGGTGCTAAAGCACATTCGGCGCCAACGAAACTTGGAATCAGGCTGAAAGAGTCGTCGACGCCGTGCAACATTTTAGGTCCTAAAAAAATAAATAGAGCTGGTGGGCGGAATAGAAGCAGAAGGAAGATGGGGGTTAGCCAAACACAAGGCTGTTTAATTACATTCATAGTGAGTGCAAATTCTGAATGGGTAGGTGTTATGTTTTAATTGTTTTCATTACGTGGAGTTAAAGCAGTTTACAATTTCAAACAAATTCATTTTAAATTTAAGACTGGTAGACAGTTATATAATTGATGTGAATAATTTAATTGCAACAAATTTTGTCTAAAAAAAAAGTTGAGGTATAAAATATTGATCCAATAATAAAAACTAAAAATATATTCTGTAAAATTTCAAAGCTATTCAAACTTAAAAGTTAAGTAAGTAAATATTGTCCATATACATTTTCTCGGATTATAAAGACTTCCGTTTTTGAAACATACATAAATTTAATCACATACCACATTAACTCAAGTGT